TTTCGTTCATATTCATGGCCCGCTTAGGCTGTCCAGTTTCGCGCATAACTCAGCCAACTTGTGATTGCTCTGTTTACTCTTCCCTTGTTTTTCAATCCCCGAATACTTAGCCGTTCTCGGCTTGGTCTCTTCAGCTCGCTGGAATTTTTTCTCTATTAACCGCGTAGGCCAGGCAGCTTGGTGAAGTTGCTCCGGCCTGCGCATTCGTATTAATAAAACGGACTTTCAGATTGCCCAAGTCATGGGTCATGGTATCTTTCAGATTGAGCGCAGGGACTGGGGAAGGGGACTGAAAAGAGGTTTTAAGTGGCACCTACCACATTTCCTTTTCCCATTTGGACCCCATCGTCATTCCTGAACAGGGATTTCTATCTAAATGCCCCGTTCTTTCGTCCTACCTCTCCATGAATTGTCAAGAAGCCTTTTATTTCTTTTTTTCTCTCTAGATTTTCACCTCAGTACTTTACGACCTGCCTTCTAGGGAGAGCCAGCCAAACGGTTGGCGCTTCACCAGTCTCGCTGCTCTCTGCGGAGGACTTTTGAGGGCTACGGCTGCACTGACTCAAGAGCTTGCGGCGTTTTTGTCATGTGCAGTAACGGCGTTCACAGCAGTACTACTACGCATAATCTCCCGAAGGATCGAAAGGTTGGCTGTAGGTAGAGGATGAAGGATAGAAGTGGCAGAATTACGAAAGGTACTGATCTACTGCCTGCTGGTCCGGATTCAGAGCAGGAACTCCCCATGAAAACAGGGACATTTAAAAGCGCGCATCGGCTGTTTATGGAAGGCGAGCGCTGCTTTGCGCTAGGAAACGAACGTGGTTGCACTCTCGATAGCGTGCTTTTGCTGTGCTTGCTGGCTAGTGAAACCGTTCATCCCAAGACGTTAAAATCGATTAGGCGCCTAGCCCAGAGCGGAATTTCCGGTCATAAGCCCCAGTGCCCACGCCAACCGCCGGCCCCGCGTCCAATGAGCAGGCGTTGCGCTGGCGCCACTTTCCACGAAAGTACCCTTTATAGCGCCCTATCAAGCTGCCACATCCGCGCGCTCCGGACGGCCCACCGGCGCCCCGCGCTGCCACAAACCTGATTCGTCCTGAGCTGGAGCCGGTATCGCCCCTCCATTGGCGATGTCCATATGAAGCGCAAGTGATGTGTTGATGCAGATGCAGTGCGCGTGCCGATATATTGACGCCCATAAATACATTGCAGCCGTACTCTACCGTAGCAGTTATTGGCCTATGCCAACCGCGGGAAAACTCGTCCGAAATTGCATTCTGAGTCGTGTAGAACAAAGGTTTTTTGCAGGTTTTTGACCGTCTCACTTCGCTTTTTCTCTATTTTCCCCACTATATAGCACTCCTGGACCAAAATACTGAGAAACTAATCAACAGTTCTAGTCCGGATACAGAGCAGAATCTCATATTTACTATGGAAATGAGGGGCGTCTAGGTAAATAAGGGAGCTGGCGCTGTTCGGTTTAGAAGGGGCACTTTGCACTTTCGGTAGTTCCTTTTGCTAGTCCATGTCGGAACCAGGTTAGTTCTTGGTGAGAACCACAACCATAAAGAAGTCCGGCCGAATACAGAAGTTTTACAGGTCCTCACAAGCGGTGCATCTGAAGTAAGCGTCGCCTGAGACTGCTCATGCTGCCCCCTACCAAGCCCGAACTGCCGGCCGGAAGGTGCCCCACAATGTCAAGAACGTTGATTTGCATGTCGCTTCAGATCATTTTTTTATTTTCTATCGCTCTACCCTTTCGTTAACATCCCTAATTTTTCCGTAAGCTATAGCATGGCGTGTGACAATTTAGATTCGCGAGGAACATGCCGCCATCACCAGTGAGTCATTCGGCTCATCATCCTCATCACTCGAACGGTTCCATGGCGACGTACGACCAGTTACGCGGTCCACATTTTGAACGCCCGCCTGCAATCCGAATTATGATGCTGCCCACTGGCATGCGCGTATCATCGTCGCCATCAACGTGCCAACTACGAAGCCGTACTGGACACGGTCCCGTTGCATCCGTCGTATTACAGAGACGGTCGCGGTAGCTGCTCATTGCTGTTGCATGCTGCTTGTGTTTTTTTCTACATATTCTCATTTCTTAAACTATCTAACCAGTAACCCTTATGTTGTTGTCGTTGTATTTTTTGCGTTACGTTCGCTATGCATTCGACTTCGTTTTGTGACCCTTGAGCCGCGGCGGTTGAAAATCGAGTTAAAAAAATCGAAGTGTTAGTCCCATTGAGTGGCACCAAATTTGTCGTGCTCCTTGAGCTCTCAAGAGAATTTCTGAGGACTCATTGAGCCTTAAACAACGGGAAAAATTCAAGCTTCTGATTAGTATGAGTCTTACCAGATGTGTTGCTGTGCAGAAATTCTTCCGTTCTTAACAGCTTATACCTAGAGGCTTCAAGTGGTATGACCTTTCTCTGACCTCCTGCTCTAAATATTGCAGGGTCTCCGTGAGGGCTAAACCTGTGAAAGTTATATTGGATGGAATGTTTGAACATCGATCACCGACATGGTTTTGCGCCACGTGCATTTGACCCCATATGCTGAATTAGTTGCACATAAATGGCAACCTGTACCCTTTCCACACAACACGCTGTGCGAGTAAAAAGGCCGCAGTAGTCAAATTGCGCTTTTTCATCGCGACAACAGTGGCAATCAACCGCTTTTCTCCAAGGTCTGGTTGGGTTCACTGTAGTGGGCTCGTTCGGGCCTCGAAGCGGGGCTTGTCATATAGAGCGGGCTAATTACGCAGTCTTTTAGCCACGGGCCACCTTCATTCATTAGCTGGATGGATCCTTCGCTAGGCAAGGTAACCCCAAGCGGGTGGGTGCGCTTTTGGTGCGGCCGGGGTGGGGAGTTGGGGGGGTCGCATTGGTCTGAGAAAAAAATTTTGATGGCTGATTTTCCTGTTTCACGGGCATTGTTGGAGAATTCCAACAGGGTGGGGGTCGTAGCTGAAGACGAAATTGGAGAGGTAGATCGTATTTTCCGAAAATTCTCCCCAGCAACAGAACGTGCCCTGTGCTGTGGAACTAACTAGTATTGGGGTAAGCGGAGCCCTTACGTGCTATATCCAGGGCACATCCCTTTAGGGAAATCTGTTGCAAAATACGACCCCTCTCGGAACGTCCTCCTTGGTACGACCTCCTCGGAAGTTCCTTCTCTGGCACCGCCTGCCAACTTTTTACAACTTCCTACTACTTTTTCCGGAGTTCTTCTTTCTCGAAGATTTCCCTTTTTTTTGCCTAAAAACCGCCGTCCAGCGGGGTGCTGTGGCCATAACCATAGCATGGGGTTGACCCGATGACCGCTATTATGCCATGGAGGTCTGCAGACTGACGCAATGGATTTATGCAAAGCGTAGTGCTAGTATAGCAGTCCTCATCCCCTTCTCCGTAGGGGGGCGCCGGGAAGCGGGCGCGTTTACAAGGCTGCTTCCCACGGCTGAGGGATCAGCTGCCACGCACAAGCTTTTTGCGGCGCCGCTAGTTTTATGGAATATGTTGCTGCGACTTCTGCTCTCAGTCCTCTGTTTCCAGGCGGCTGTTATCGAAAGTCAGGAATTCGTTTCCTGTACCTTTAATAAGCTGAACAATTTGCAGTGGATGGAAATACTAGACCGCCCTATCATTTTCATTGGACTGGAGTCCCATCGTGTTCAGCTGGGTCGCTTGTCGCTTTGGAATCGTAGATTCGAGGCAAGCCGTAATTGCGGAGACAAAAAGACTTGAACCTTACCTTGAACCCTTCTCTCTCCTCTTACCGATAGTCCCATAGTCTTCGTGTGAGCCGGTTACCTGTCCCCGAATCACTGTACCAGATGCGAGTTTGTGGCGTCCCAGTAAGAGCTATCTAACATATAATTTAAAATTTTTCACGAAAATTTCTCCTAACAGGCACTATTCAACTAGCTGTCCTCAAAGGAATATCTGCGGGAGATCTTTTCGCCTCATACCTTGACTATGAGGTTATTTAGCGCACCTGCGTCGCGCGGATATGGCATTTCGTATTTGCGGCGCAGGCGAAATTTTACGTCCAAATCTCAGCGCCGACCACCTGTTTCGCCAAATCGTATAATCTTGCGACTAGCCGCGCTTACTAATGTCCTGATCAGGAAGCGACATCTTTCTTGCCCAGCCATAGACAGAGTACCTGAATGGCCGCTAACACCGTGTGTCACGAAATTCACACGCCTTGCATAATGGCGTTATTCGGCATCTAGATTTCTCATCATCATAGATCATTTATTCTTTGCGTTGACGCTATTAAGCCCTGCGTTGACTTGGCGCGCGGATTTTCTCACCGAATACTTTTATATCTCAATTTGCGGCTAATTGGGTGTCCGATGATGGAATGACATTCATTTCGGCACACAGCTCTCTACACTATAAGCCGTTGCAGCTCTCTGCTTATGGTTAGTGGGGAAAGAACGATTCCTTCTTCCCTGGCAGCTAACCTCAGGCGCGAAGCGCAGGGACGAGCCAAGAGAGCGTTGACGATTGATGGCCTGCGCTCCGAAGAAATGAGAATGTCGCATCAGATCAGACTGTCAAATAGCCACAAGTATTCAGGTGCGGGCATATATTTTAGGCTGAAAAGGAATCGGGGCATCAGATGGCGCCGGTTCCATTCTAAGGCCAAATGGCGCTAGCACGAGGAATAAAAGTCGTATCCGTTATTAGGGCATATTATTAGGGCGGGCGAATCACCCTGAGTAAGGAAGTTTATACCGGTTTTGGTGAGAAAGTGGTGGTACCAGATTGTCACCTAATGGCGCTAAATGGAGCCGGCGTCAAAAACGGATGTCATGCTCGTTGTCAGAGTCACCCCCATAGAAAGAAATTCAGCGAAAAGAATTTCCTGCATTTTAGCAGTAGAAAAGTTGAAAATAATGAAATGAAGTTTTATGCTTTCCGTCTTGGTTACATTTTCTTTTATTAGGAAATTTACATTGATTACAAGAAATTTTCCATTTTTAGATGTTGATCAGCTTTTCTTCTTTCAGATTCTGTGACGATCGCGAGGAGAACGGCGTATTAGACCCGGATGCTCAGTCATCGATGCGGCACACAACTTACGCGTTGGTAAAGACTCGTCGTGACGTTGACGAAGAAGACGACGCGGACGAAGACGATGACCGCATCAGAAGTGCTGGATCTGACGACGACAATCACCGTCATAACAACCATCGAGCCATCATGGAAAATGGTGGTATGGCACCGCGAGTACTCGAGACGCGACGAGGATTGAGCCCCGAACGAGATCCGCTTGATCGTGACAGAAAGGTCTCCTTCAGCACCGCACCGATACCTGTTAGTCCTAACTTCAGTACATAAAGTCTCTTTTCTTGACTAACTGTTGCATGTTGGTGTCTTTGACAGGGAACTGGTGGCTTTTCTATGTGTTTTCTAAAGAACATCGCAGTCCTCGGAAGTCCTGTACGAATTTCAGGTCTACTGCACGCACTCGGTAGACGAGTACGATCGCAAGAACGACGATATTGATCCCGTAGCGAGCTGTGCGGAGTATGAACTCGAGAGACGTCTCGAGCGTATGGAATTATTTGATGTGACTTTGGAAAAGGGTCCTGAGGGACTCGGTGTATCCATTATAGGTGAGCCACTTCGAAATTCAACTTATTTTTTTATCACTACAGAATTTCAATCTTTTAGTCATTGAGGGGGTGTCAGATATGGGCGGTCAGATCAGAGGGATGAAGTGGTAATGATGGTCGCTATGCTCCTTTCTTTGACAGTTTTCTGGCTTGTGATGCGTTTCACACAAGCTTTTAGGGTAGATGACATCCTGTTTATTTGTTAGTGGTAGTCGACCTTAAAGTACAGATAGAGTACAAGTACAAAGTATCGTAATTCGGCGTTGGGGATGAGGGCTCAGGGACTAGCGCAACGGCGGTAGATTGTTGCCTATTCTAGCGGAATGAGGTGTGAGTGAATCAGAAGTGTTTTCTTGTGCCGTCTGCGCTCTCTTGTGCAAATGCCGTCCACATATCTACCTTAACGACAAAGGGCACGATCGTCGGGGACGGGTAGGTGTCGTCAGTGTTACTGGTGGAAGAGGTTAGTGGCGTGCGCCGAAGAGCCCTCTCGCAGTCCTGCCATGCTGCCAACAAGCACCCGTCCCCACCGATGCGTGCCTACCTGCTTCAAACCAACACAGCTGGTTTCCTCTTTACTAGTCTCGCTGAGCCTAGCTTTGAGCACAAAAATATGCCGCAACTCAAGTAATCCAGTCCTATACTAATTGATTATAACGTGACTCTTTATGTCATGATCGACTGGCTTCCCATGGTCATTTTAGGATTACGCAGCTGGAAATTCATTCGAACCCCGTTATCCAGTTGTTAGGGCAATTGAACTTAATTGAGATTTTGCTGTGCCTTATTTTTTTCGCAGTCAACGATGAACATTAGCTCCTCTTCATTTAGGAATGGGCGTAGGAGCTGATTCGGGCTTGGAAAAGTTGGGCATTTTTGTGAAAAACATCACTCCAGGTGGAGCTGTGCACAGGTAATCTTGGATTGATTTTCTCTTTTTTATTTCAGAAATTTCTTTTTCCAGATTACTTCCGTGAAGTTTCCAAGTTTCTCAAGGGTGATAAATTGTGTTTTAGGGATGGCCGTGTACGAGTGTGTGATCAGATCGTCTCAGTCGATGGCAAAAGCCTTGTCGGAGTAAGTCAGCTATACGCTGCCGAAACCCTTAGGGCTACGTCAAATCGGGTCTTATTCACTATTGGTGAGTTGTAAGTAACATGATCTTATGTAATTCACTTATGAGCTCCCACTTACACTGTGGCCTGCGCTTGTTTGAAACGAATAAAAAGGAAGAAGCTTGGAAGCTGAGAGCGATGAGACGGCTATTTGAAAGATAAAAGGATGTTCTATTTATTTATTTGTTCATTTATTTGGCGCGTCAGTTGGGCGCAAAATAAATAAATAAATAAGTCTTCGTCGTTAATCGATTCTTTTGGGATGGACGATGGGATTCAATTCGGAATCGCAGTGGCTTATTGAATGCGACATGATGATACGATGGTTTGCGGGGACCAGCCCAAGTGCAAGGCTGTGTTCTTATCCTTCGAATCTGACCCCAATTAACCGTCCCCGGCGGGTAGAGGGCTCGGTTAGCTTAGGCGTTAGCCAATTTGACCGCATGCGCTGAGCGTGGCACTTGTCACATCACCTACGTCCCCTGCCTCCTTATCGGTAACTGTTTCGAGCTTCTTAAGCTCGCGTCACATATTTTTCTGAATCGGATTCAGAGCCGTGCGTTGACCCGAAAAGGGAAACTCGATAGGTAGATTTATTCTTTCTCCCGAATAATTTGCTGCCAGGTATCCTGCGATAAAGGACCTATGGGGCTATTCTTTCAAGGAGACTGAGCTCCTAGCGTAGATCTCATCAGCAGAACATGCTCCCTTTGCTCCCGTGGTGAGGAAATTAGAGTTCCTCGGCGAGCTACTCAAATCCTTGATCTCACATAACCCAACATAGGTAGTGGCCGGTGCGTTTGTTGAGGGCGTGGGCTCGTGGGATTGCCATCAAGGGTTGTCGAGGATTGGTCGCAGCTCTCATACCAGATGTAACCACTTGAGTTATAGATTTCACACTGACCTTGGAACCTGACATTAGTAAAACCTTGAAAAAAGCGTGCAATGAAGTTGCAGTCTATCAGCTGGAATGTTCATACTCGAAATCCCGAGATCGGTAGGCTGGCCGGCATGTTTCAACTTACCTGAGATATCTTGCTTCGGGCTCAAGATTATTTCAATCTGAAGCAATTCGTTGTCGTGTCTCTTTGCCCAACACAGAACAAATATACAGTTGTCCAGAGCTGGAATTATTCACGACTTGTAACAGTTCTGTGCCATGTTCAAATGCCACGCTACATCTGACTCATGGGATCAAGGAGTGTATGTATCGGTGATTTGGTATTGAAGACGAAAATTGTTAAAATCGTCATGCAGAATCTTATCCATGCGGCGGCGCATACTTTCTCCGTAGAAAATGCGGGTGGGGAGGGGAGAGGGCGGTGGGGGGGGGTGGAAAGACCGCTTCCGCCTATGGACAGTGCCCATTAGAATCTTTTAACATGTCCTTTCAAAATTGGTACATTAGGACTAAGGAACATCCTTACGCAAGACAATACTGATACACCGTGCACGGCTCAATCGATGCATCTTCTGACTTAATCAGTGCGAAGCGCCTGAGATGTCGGGGCGTCTGACCTTCAGCTTGGCGGGGTAAGTCATGAAAAATAAATCACACTCATGACGGCGCTCTTCGAAGAGCTGGACAACTGGTGTCTTCCATCATTATAGCGACTTTCTCTGAGAACCTGCACGCATGTGACTCACTCGTGAAAATCACACAGCTGCTTGAGGCTGATGCCCGTTCTCGAGGCCTTTTGTGGTCGACGCTGATGGTGAATGGACCTCTTTATGAATAACGTGGGTACTTGTTCACCCTAGTAGAGGAACATCTTCGGTACATTCTGCCAAAGGTCTTTCATATACCTTGGGACCTGTATGAAGAAAGCTTTGATGCTGCTTTGCCACAGCGTGGGGTCTCTTTTATTGTTCTCCTGGATAAGCTCAAGAACGTGGAAATGACTAAGGCTTCAAACCCATTCAGCGGTGTACAGGAGAAAGAGCAGGCTTGTCACTTTGGTGCAAGCGGAAAGCTGAACGGACGGCCGGAGGAAAGAAGAGTGCCATGTTGTTGTCATGTTAATCGACTTTAATGAGATGTGTGCAAGTGTAAGAAAAGTTAGCTATCAAAACCGGACGAAAGCTGGAGCAGGTCTGTGGGACATACGACATCGAGTGAAAGCAGCAGCTGAAGAAGCTACAGTCAACCCCGTTCTATCAGCACACTCTAAAGACAAGCTATGAGCAGGTTCTACCCTTTAATTGGCCCCGGAAGAAAATATTAGATTTCCGGCAATAGATAGATTCGATGTAGTGCAGCGCTGGGGTTGACGTTGACCTATGATGCTTGAGGGGGTTTGTCTTTTATGGTTAGTAGCAAGTTAACTAAGCAGTTAGTAACACCCTCAGAGCAGAATGTATCTACCACGTTCGTCATTCATTCTACAGAAATGTGGGGAGTTTTGAGCGGATGAAATCTCCGACGACCGATTCTATAACATCAGTAGATGAACCTTTTCTAATCTTGAATGGTTATTTATGAAACTGCAGAAAGTTCTCAGTGTTCATAATAATGTAGTGCATTTCTCAAATGAAATTTTATCTTAGATTAATTTGTGCTCTCCGCCTGAGAGTCAGAATCAATCTTGAAAGGCATGTGGTGCAAAGAAACTCGCAAAATCGTTTATCTAAAAAACCTAAATCGTCTCTCTCATCGAAAAGCCATTTTAGAATCTTTCCCTGCTATCGATGCTGAGGAGTGGTATAATGTCAAGTGGCCTTACCACGCCCGCGGTCCAGGGATCAAATCCTCGATTGGTTGCGCCCAGGTTAACCATAGCTTCTATCCTCCGGAGACGGTAAATTGGTACCAGATTTGTCTGGAAGGATAGGAAATGCTGAGTTGTACATTGGCTGGGCCCGCAATGCATTGCATAGGCCACGTTGCATTCAATAAGCCGTTTTTGGGTGGCGGTACAATACGTGGCGCATCCCAAAAAGAGATAGATCATCGGCTAGTCTTCTTCTTCTTCTTATCCTTTATGTTTCGGCCTTCGGTACCTTCTCCTGCCTGAAATACTCAGGCTCTGATTTGATGTATTCTTAAGGTCCCTTCGCAAATGCCACACAAATTTTCAGGCCGCGAACCAAATTTGGACGAATCCGAAGTTGCCCAACTGATTCGCCAGTCGCTAGAAGCAGATCAGTCACGGTTCGTCACTGCTGGTCCAAACGAAGGTGATGAGAGTCAACCGGAGGAAAATGAATCCGTTTCGGCTAGAAGTATGGACGAAGCGGAAATTCGAGTGAGTTCCGCCAAATTTTTTTCAACCTCGAGGATTTTTTGTTTTCAAGCGTAAACGAGTACAGTAGTGGATTTTGTTTAATCAGATAATTTTGTTAGTCCCCTCCACTCTACTAGGTACTTTTTTTGGTCGATCGTGTTGGAAAAAGAAAATTCCTGTTCGTTCCCGAGCAAAGAAGAAATATTTTTGGGAGAATTTTTCATTAATGGATTTTTGTGGAAAGTCACTCACCGGAACGATAACTGCGTCCTGCTTTTAGGTTGCGATCAAAAGGGGACGCTCATTCACTTTTTTTTATAAAGTTTCTCTCCCCGTCCCCTTCCCCCGATTCCCTTTAATTTCACCATTCCTTTCGTTCCTATCCGATTCTACGGAGTCTCAAAAACATCACGTGAAAGTGTTTCAATTGAATTTTCATAAGAAAAGTGATGGATATCGTCCATTGATTGGATTAAACATTACACCTTCAGCTTTGCTTCAGAAAGCTGCAGAAAGCTTCTGTGCAAAAGCTGAGATAGCTTCTAAATTATTCGCTTTTTGCAAACATTTCCTCTCTTCGATTCTATCCGGTTCTGTCCTTGAAGTGATCGTCGGAGACCGGAAAAATTTAATTTGACGGCCGGGTCGCGTTGCTCTTTTCTGGTTCCTCCTTTCAACTTCCACTAGGTTGCTATGTTTCCTTTTAGCATCCAATCCAAGAGGCGGAGGTGGTGTAGTGGCAAGTGGCACGCTTACCGCCCGGGGACCAAATTTCGGGTCAGCTCCCGCCCAGGCCAACCAAGCCTTCTACCCTCCGGGGACGGTAAATTGGTACCAGATTCGTCTGGGAGGATAAGACTGACTTGTACATCGGCTGGCCCCCGCAAGTCATTGTATAGGCCACATCGCATTCATTAAGCCACTACGATTCTGAATGGAAGTAGAATGCGTGCCGCATCCCACAACGGTACTTGATCAAGGGCTTTATCCTTTTGTTATTCGATCCAAAATACAAAAGGATTTGAGCAGTGAATTCCGAACTGCTCCATTCTTGTTCTCTAGAAAACCCCAGAACTTTTCCCAGTTGTCATCCCATCCCTCTTTTTACGATTATATTTTGTGTGCATCGGCTTAGGAATCGCGCGGTCGTCTGCTCAGGAGTCTCGCGATCAATTTTACCCTTTTTTCCTGTCTCAATATTTGATATTTTAAACTTTCTTTATTTTCTAATTGAAAATATTTGGCGCTGTTGTTCCTGTATACCGTTTCCTGCCGCCGCAAATCTCTAGCAATGATTTTAGTCGAGGATAGCAGCTTTGGAGTTGGAATTGGAAATGTCACAGAAGAAAGCCGATCAGATGCACGATGTACTTGACAGCACCAAATCTCATTACGATCAATTGGAGAAGAAGTACGATCAAGCCAATCAGCTCCTACGAAACTATCAAGAAAGGTAACACACTCGCTTATGCAGTTATTCTTATTTTTATGATTATATTTTGTGTGCGGTCACGGGCTAAACATGCTTAAAACCTTACCTTGGGGGATATGGCCGAGGCCGAGGAGCAGTAGGCACACCTACGGTCCAGGTATCGAGTTCTGCCTATGCCAACAATGACCTTTTCCTTCTTAGGACAGCGCAACTGGTCCCACGACTGTCTGGGAGTCGGGATTGGATAGGTAGACGTTACTTGCATATAAGCTATTCTCCCTGTGGGAATGAAAAAAATTCTCACGATTCGGGGAAATTCGCGTAACACATACAGTCAGCTTCTGCTTGTTTTTTGCTTACTTGGTTTGGTCGGTTTCTTTGTGGATGCGCCACGCATTCAACTTTTATCCATACTGGTGAAAACATTTGAGTGATATCAGTATTATGTTCTACAACCACACTTATCGACAGCGTTGCTTTACGATTTCCCATTTTCAGGGAAAAAGAGTTGCTCTCGCGTGAAGAGAATCATGTGGAGCAATTGAGAGATAAGGACGCCCACTACACACATCTGGTCACTCAACTCAAGGTTAGTACTAGTTCTAAACGTGACTACGGTTGTGATCTCTTCGATTTCCGTTTCCGGTTTTCGCACTTTTCACGACATAGAGCTTCATGGCTCTGCATTTTATGACGCTGAGGGGAACTTTCATTATTGATTTTGTTTTTTGGTAAAGTTTACTTGTCTAGCAGGGGCATTAAGTCTCAATTGAAATAACAACTTACCTGTAAGAATGATGGTGAGTGCTGCGATCTCAATGGTTTTGAGCCAGGGTACGTTATCGAAATGGGTGAAATGACGGCGTTAGTGCGACACCCACTCTAACCCAGGAAGACGTTCTCACTACGACCCTCTTTTGCAATCTACCTGTCATCTTGCTTTATAAATCTTGGTGCTCCGAACTTTATAGAAGTATGAATCCAAGTGACTTTCTCAAGGGGACACCCTACGCTGGTCGCATAGGCGGAGTCACTGGAACCATTGCGTTTTCCTTATTGGTGCGTTGCCGCGTTTTGCCATCCTAGAATGAGAAGCCCCCCCCCCGATGAGAGTGGCGCATCTGTCCAAACAACTCCATCCCAATCAGCGCAAAATATGCCTTCAGTCGCTGATCTCCAAGTAAGGGAGCTCTAATATATCTCTCTGTGTTCCAAGCTTCCTTTTCTGTCAACTCGGACATCTTCTCTAGGCTTAGTAGCTTCAATGTTCGAGTAGGGCCCTTAAAACTTTTAGGTCATCTTTACTCAGTTTTTTTTGTCATCCTGATGCTGTGAGTGGAATTTTTTTCACCGCCCAGCCGGTTGAACCACTAGCTTTAAAACGATACTGCTCCTCTGCCCCATACAAGCTGTCCTACGTATGGAAAGCCTCACAATTGGCTCACGCCGAATTTCAAAGTCCCTCAAAAATCATGGCGCCTTCCACGCGATACATCACTTTCTCGCTAATGATAGCTTGAAAAAAGTATATGAGAAACTGTTTTGTTATGATAAACTGATGTTTAACGCCGTCAGTGCGGGCATTAAGCCGTTAATAGCTGAGAGGCGTAAAAAGCCGGCACCCTCGGGTTTTTGGCGTAAGCGCCCTCGCCGCGGAAGCGTGAGATGCGCATGTTCGACTCCGCCCGGGGCCACGACTTTTGCCCAAAACTCAGCATTTGTGTGGTAGAGAAAACTTTTCGTCATGACCCTGGTTTTTGAGGCAGCCATCTAGAGCGTTTCAAACTTCTGCAGCACGGTTACCACATAAGTACTTAAGAACTTCGATATCTATCAGTGTTGTGTCTTACTAGTTGAGTTTATCAATTTATCATGGCATTTTTAAAACCCCTTTGTAAACTAGAGTATTGTATCTCCGAAAATAACTATACTAATCTTCGCCTTTTTAGGAACGCATCGATGAGCTCGAGGCAAAGCTAGAGGAGATGGACCAACGGCGACAATCCATCACTAATAATGAGCTGTCAGAACTGAAGGAGAAGCTGAAGGTCAGCGCAATGCTTCCTATGAATGATCATCACATCCTCAGTAAAAGAATGTTGCATTGCCATCATGGATTGATAGTCTGCCTTTCAGGACAAGTTGGAAAAACGCGATGAAGGTTTGGCGTACAAACCTGGTGGTGAATTACCGCACGAGGATAAAGCGGTAATGGCAAATCTGGACGATGTCAAGGAAACCATGAAACCCACTACCATCAATAATAACAACATTCCTGTACGTTCTTATATTCTTTAGAATAAGGGCTGAGAGTGGACCAAGGATACAGTCCTAAGGTCTGCTGTCAGACCGTAGAACTGATGTTAAGGACTGCACATATAGCGCTACTTTCAGTGCCGCAAAGATGCCGAAGTATCAACGTGGGACGACGACAAGTATTCCTCATCGTGTGGGAGCCCGATTCCGCGAATATCCGAACCAGCCAGTCCTGCTCTTCCCCATCGATTCGTTCATCGACGGCTACTGTTCCCACTGAAGAAGAAATACGTGACCAGTGAGTCCAGCTATTTTGAGTCGCAGTTCGGCTTTGGGGGACACCGCACCCAGCAAAGACGGTACGCGTCACCTTGTAAATATCTGTAGATTTCCTTTTCTAGAATGGCTCACTTGAACCTTCTCGCAGCTCCATAGGAGATCATTTGTTTCTCCAAAGAGCCCTATCAAAAGGAACAAGGAAATTGCAAAATGCCCCCCCCTATGCCGAACAGCGCCATTTTACTTATCTGATGATTCATGAATAAGGCTTGTATTGCCTTGTGTATTTAGCGTACTCCCTTTCCTAATCATAAAGCAATGCTGTATTCAGTTGCGGCGCGGTGGCTTGCTCAGAAAGTTAAGTGTCAGGGGCACACGGCAGTCTCGTTTGGTGGGGCAGCTGAGGCGTGTTAGGGAGGCCTGGTTTGGCGCAGAGCCAGCCATTTTACCACCAATGGTGGAAGCTTTCAAGTGACCACAATTGGTGGAGAGCGGGCTGCCGCAGCGCCAACTCCAGCCCCCGACACGCCCCGGCGTCCGAGGCGAGCAGCGATTAAGGGTGTAGTTCGTCTAGGGGGGGGAGGTGCCGCTGTGTCAAATAGTTTTTTATCATGCCTGCCTTGAGTTGTCTTCTCAAGTTCTTCCGAAACCATAGGTTGAATATAAGCCTCTCTACTTTGCTCGCTGAGAGGGCGCAGACAAGCAAGCATCACGTAATATAGTCGCGCTGATGCTCGCCCTACCTCTACCTCACCCTCCCTAAGTGCTGGCAGTACAAAAATGCAAGGACAATCTGATCAACAATTACAATTTTTCTGTAACATGGCTCTATTATTTTTTCAGATGAAAACGAGTTCTGGCGTGCCTCATGTGAACAAATCCAAGGGCTGCAAGTGCTTCACTGGACCGTTGACGATGTGTGCCAGTTGCTGGTATCTATGGGTCTCGATAAATATGTTCCAGAATTCACGATCAATAAGGTCACTGGAGCGAAATTCTTGGAATTGGATGGCACCAAACTGAAGGTGGGACTTTTAGATGTGAATGCCACACTTACATTTTCACTTCTGCAAAACGAGAAGGTTAGTTATTAGGTAGAATCGTATTAGTTCGCTATACGTTACTTTCTTCTCGTCTTCTTCGGAGGGCAAAGGCTCCATCCATTGCGTGCTGTTTGTCCCATTACCTAGACTTATAAAAGCGGCGGAAAATAGTAAATGGTGTTGGCAAATGGCCTGCGAAGAAGGTCGCAACATCTAGCCAAATAACCGTCACACCTAGAAACCTTGTTTGGCAGAAGTAATAATGTACAATTTGGCTTAATACCCAGGTTTAAAGAAAATACAATGTGGGTTCATAAGAAAATCTTGCTAAAGTGCAGTTGGGAAAGGAGGGAGGGCCATAGAACTGACTAGTGGGTTCATAGCATACAGTACAGCTGCCCTCGAAAGTTTTCCGCACTCGCATCTTTCGTGGCATATGCTTGTGTCGTACCACTTGCGACGCCGACAACCCTAATGCACCTCCGTGGCAGGGTAGAAGGCAGTGTCAGACTTCGCGACGGCAGCGCCTTGGTCACGCGTTCGGCGCGATCGATGCGCATGCTTTCGACTGCATCAATCGCGTCAAACGCGCGACAGAAGCGCTGCCTCCGCGAAGTCTGAACGCTGCCGAAGAGCTCCACTTCGCGGCGCCGCGCACAGACTTGCATTGTTCCCTGGCTAGTTGACTCAGCACACCACAGCATTTCCACATTGAGTCAATTAGGTCCGACCGCTATTCGAAACGCTTCCCTCACCTCACCGCAGCATAGAACTCCTGCACTATAACGCATCTCGACACATTCACAGAACTGTAGCAAAAGATTATGCCATCACCTCCAACTTGAGGTTTTGTGGGCATTCAGGGTCTAAAGACATTTCCAGGAGAGGGTAATGAAGTAATCTAGGGTTGCGGCATGTCTAATAATTACTTTATGTAGTAGTGAGAACTTTGTATCGGACATTTATGGTAAATGGAAATGTTTTGGCAAATGCCGTTTTTCAGTTTTCTTCATTTTCAGACCATGGGAATCCAGAATCACTCGGATCGTTCATTGATCAAGAAGAAGGTGAAGATGATCAAGAATCGGATAGAACGCGAGCGAAAGTTATTGGAGAAAGAGAGCCGATCGCGAGTAATTGCCCAAGGAATGCAGATGCAAATTCAAATGTAACGCCCATCCACCTCAACTTTTAGCTCTACCCTATCATCACTCCAATTCATTCCTTGTGTTTGTAATTATTATTGTTCATTTTCATGCTGATCCGCAATTGCACACATCACATACCCACTTTATTATGCCCAAAGAGATATTTTGAAGCTCGTAGAACATCGTGCAAAATTTCCATTTTGACCGGCGCTTAGATGTTCTGCGAGCGTGCACATGTACGTGCAACAATGTCCGATGGATCCCATGGACTTTCGGGTTCGCCACAGAAGTTGTTGCCCAACTGAGAAGACTATCGTGCAGTTTTCTTCCATTAGAGTAATTTATATAGGTGATTTTTCAATGTTAGTGGTTTCTATTTGAATTGAGCATAATCTTTGTAGATCACGCGCTATTTCACTTACTTCAATAGCTATTCTTCTTGTTACACATTCAAACGAATCGTATTGTATGCAGAAAAGTTGACAAGTTCGATCCTTCAGCAGTAGCGAAGGCAAATCGTACTCGATCACCATCATCACTCCAATTCTTTCCTTTCTTTCATATCATCACATTACGCGACCAATATATGATATATTATAGCCCTTCTTGCTTTGTGTTGAAAGCATGTGAACGCGGTGTTCAGAATCCTATATTGAATGAATAAAACCGAAGATTATAAATTTCTTACTTTCTGTTACCTGTTTCCTCGTATACAGCTGTCGCAAATCGCAAGGATCTCTCCCGGGTGTGCTGGAGCCTGCCGTAGCTCGTCGCCGTGACCTACTCTTTTTGCCCTCCTTCCAGCATGATCGCGCGGGAAACCGCTGCCACCCCGGTGGCATCGATCACAGCAGCCCTCACTTCTCCTTCATCCTACTCCACATTGAGGTCGACTACCACACTTTCTCCCAAGTCAACTACTCCATCCTTCAGTCGGCCCTCAACTAACAAGTTTTATAGTGCAGCGGCATGATTTGCCAGTAGCGCTAATGCTACAAATTCTCTGGTATTCTCCCTGAATGACAGGGATGTCGACTCTCTCCT